CTTGATCTATAGAGCTGACGTGTGACAGCAGCTCTAAGTATTGGAAATACTTCTCCTTTAAGGTCATTCCTCTGTCACAGCTCCGGCCAACACATTGCAGTGTCCAGATCTTTTTTATCACAGCTCATTTTATTTGGTTATTTTGATTTCTGACCACCTGTCAGTCACAGTGATACTTGTGCCTCCGTGCCCAGTCGGTCTTGGCTTATAACAAATAACCTGTTGTGGCTATGTAAAACAGACATGGTACTTATGGAATCACTCAATGCTTATGTGAATTCCCACAATTACTATGTCCATCCGTTTTCCATACATTTTGCCATGTGCTAGACAAGTGATTATAGTTGGGCTAGTGTAATCATGCATGACCAATAAGTGGACAATGATGTTCAGTTGTTCCTCTCAGGAGAGCAGAGGGGGCAAGGCAGGCAGATCTGGAGGGTCCAACATGTCGTCTCATTTCCTGCAGAGAATACATTTTGTTTAGAATAAAACCGCATCAAACTTCTTTTCACATTGTGCGAATTTTAGGGGCTGACAAAAGTTGACTTCAGCCTGACGTTTTTAAAAGCCTAATGGGACAATTCATTTTGAGATAACTGAACCCCAGTCTAAGTAATGTAACCGTGCCTTATGGATTTGAATCAAACCTTTTGAAGGCTCTTCGTAAAGTCAAACTTTTTAAGGTGTAATATTTGTAATTCTGATTGCCTTTCTTAAAAAGGAACTTTATTCATATCTTTCAAATAACAACAAACACACCTTTAGAAACGTATAGTAATGGCAATCTACAAACACATACTTCTAGATAATTGCCGGCCTTGTATTCTTTCCATACCTGATTTTTCTTTTCTTCCCCAGTCTTCTGGCAGTGGCCATGTTAACTAAGGGAAGATTACTAGATCTCCATGTACTTCCTGGAACTGTGGCACATGTGACTAGACATGTGACTAGGACATGTGACCATGCACATCATCTCAGGGGAGGAAAATGCCTTTCCCTGAGATCTCGTGAGATGAGATTTCCCAGCAATGCTCTGCTGACGTAACCTTCCCAGGATGCAACACTTTGGCACTTACATCATTTGTGCCAGAACAGGACCAGAAAGTAGATAAACTCTATTTGTAAGTAAATGAAAAACAAGTTATTTAACTAATGAATGTAAGGTGATTTTATATCAGCATGCAGAGCTGCATGCTGATGTGACTTTTAGTTAAAAAAAAAAGAGGTAAAGGTCCGCTTTAATGCTGCAACAATCTGATGAAAAGGTCAGATCACGCCAACTGATGATGGATACAGCTAATAGTACATCACCTCTTATAAATAATTTTTCATCACCATGACCTGACCTGAGGGATACAGTGACAAGGGGCAGTGTAGGTGGGTGGGGGTGCATGGCAGGCTAGCTTGCAGCAAATAATGGCCAGCCTGATGTTCCTTCCTCTTAATGTGCCCTACCCATTACTGCAAAAGGATGTATATTATGCAATATCACTGTACAGGCCAAGCAGTCAGAAGTGGTTTCAGTGGAGTGTAAGGTGTGCCGCCTTATGCTTTATATTTATGTTGTAACATTTTTGGCCCACAGAGAAAATTAGAAATGTTTTTTGTGAGCCTCTGATAGGATCATTTTCAGAAGCAATACCTTATCACATAATGTGCTCATAGACCTCAGAAGGAGGTCTTGTGATTATATACAATTCGATCACCAGATCTTTCTTTATCCCCAGTATGCATCAAGATGTGCAAGTGTTTATTCTATGCGACCATGAACAATTAATATTTCACTGTTTAACCCTTTCATGACCAAGTCATGAAAGCCTTGATGCCCAGAACAGATTTAGCAGCGTCCGTATGCGTCACTTAATTTGACAACCAACTCACTTGCTTACCTAAATAATTGTTGCCATGTTTTAATGATATATAAAACTTTTATTTAGTATACTATTTTTTTCAAAAAAGTTCTTGATAAATGGACAAAGATTTTGGAATTGTTTTATGAAAAAAAGTTACTTACTGTATTGCACTGTAACAGTTGCAGCCTGGGAGCTTTAGCTATCACTGTGCCTCCTTTGTAACCAAACCTGTGATCACTATGATTGGCTATCATGGTGATCACATGATCAGAAACCAGGTGCTCCTATTTCTACAGTAGAACTTAGTTTATGGTCTCACTTTTAGGAAGGTTACTCTACAAATTGCAATTGGGAAGGTGGTTTAAGGTACACTTCAGATCAAATTGTAACTTAAGATGTATACAAGGACGGCACCCCTACACTTCCGTTTTTGTGCTTCACCAGAACTGCAATATAATGATCCTGGAACACACCTGCTGGTGATGCCAGAACCCCTTCTTGTTGCAGTATATGCACAGAGAATGATATAAAAACTATGCAAGAACTTTCTCACATCTACCAGCCAGATACAAATCGGCCTTGGAAGTTAGAATGTGATTGGTGATGCAGGAAGCAGAGAGAGAGGGAGTTTTGAGTTACAAGCACAGGCTTGTGGAAGTATACTGCCCTTCTAGTAATCCTGTTTTGGGGTGGGTGTGCTTATTCTGCAGAGCATTACACAGTGCTCAGATTAATGTAAAGTTGCTAAACTTTCTGCAGCGTTCACTGGATAGCATTAATATCTCTATAAATACTTTATTAAATTCCTGCTTTATAGAGCATTAGTTGCTCTTTAAAGTCCTTTTGTAAATGTTGGTTTGACTGGGCCTTTCAGGATATCTGAATATTTTAGCCGTCCTCTAGGACTTATCTATCATCGTTAGATTGGTATCTCTCCACTGTTTTACCTAATTAAGCCCAATAACTGTCGGTTGCTGACTGTTACGGTGACTCCCTGGAAATTGCAGATAGCATCAGCACGCAAGGTAATGGCTGGCAGCCAAATAATACTGTATCACCTGATTCCTTGATAACCCTATAGTAAGCGTCTCATTCCTCCTGCCAGCTCTGCTCTCCCTCTGGCTTTTGTTGGCCTTGGAATTAATTAATAAGACATTTGCTGGAATAAATGTTTACAGCATCTGCATTTTTCTCGGTAACAGTATTGTGAAATCTTATAGTTATTATTACATAATATACCCCCTCTGCGAAATGCCCGTGGTACTGTAAATAAAATCACACCTTGGTTTCACATCAGGTGATGTCCTTTATACAGTCATAAAGCCAAGCTTCAACAAAAAATGTTTTTCTTTGAATACAGTGGGAAAGAGATAAATATCCTGTTTTTTAGTTCTGTGACCCTATTGGGGAGATTTTCCTTTGCCTCCTGTTCTGGTGATGCTTGTAGCAGAAACAGGGAGTGCTGTTGTCACTAGGACAGGAAGGCAATGACAGCAATGAAAACATTGTCAGAAGTTCTAACTCGTCCTCACTCTACTCTAAAAAAAGTTGTTTTCTTTTCGTATGTTTCCCCATTGGAGAGTTTTCCAATCACTTCCCACTTGCACTGTAGCACTAACCCTGAGGCACCTTAAAATTAAATAAAACATTTTGGCTACAGTTGGGCTTATTTTCAGAGGTGTGAATAGTTTGATGTGCCATGAGTGCCTTTAAAGTGACGCCAAACTCAGGAGTTAAATCGTGAAAATGCATTCAAGTACCCTAACTATTAATAAAAATGTATCTTATTTGTGTATCGGCTGCTCAAATCATTTCTGAATTGGTGCTAAAATTCTATTTCCTTCTGGAGGGTGGTTACTTTTGTTCCCCATAGTCCATGTATGTGTTGTAAAGTAGCCACCACTCCAAGCTTTACCAATTTGTATTAAAATTATAGTACACCACAGGAGCTTGGAGCGGTGGATCTTTACAACACACACGGGAACCGTGGGGAACTAAAGTAGCCACCCACTACAGCCGAGTGATACACAAATATGTTAATAGTTACGGTACCTGAATGCATTTTTAAGGTTTAAATCCTGAGTTTAGTGTCACTTTAAGTGTTTAGTTTCTGTTTATCAAGTCTAAATGTTAGTTTTTATGATGAAATGCAAACCCACTGAGATTACAATTTTTAGGATATTTGGACTCGCTTGTGAACCCTGTGACCTTTTATAAATTGTATAGATATCACTAAAACAACCATTAAGTCCAGGAACAATATACTGACCCTATTAAGCTCATTAGGAGAGCAAGTTAAGTTACCAAACCCAAGACATAACAACAATCTCTGTTAAACCAGATCTGGCTGTGTCATTTCATCATACTAGTTTCCTTCTGGGAGCTCAGTCAAAAGCACAGTATTTTTTTTTGTTGCTTCGGTAAATAAGATTTTTCTTTAAAGAATAAGTGACATTTTAACATACCAAAGTCCCATCAAGCAAGTTTTCACATTTGACTCTCCATGGTGTTCCTTGTTGCAGATGTCTTCCAAAGCTTTACTGTGATTCTCCAATTCCTGATATTTCACTCATAGTGGGACCTGCAGACAACATTTAAAAAAAACAAAAACTATTTTTTAGAATTGCTCTAGATTTGCATGCTCAGAAATTCCATCGTACGACGGAACAGGCAAACTTATTAGAAATAATTATTTTTATTGAAAGTATGAATGCTTGGAACAGACTTCCAGCAGTGGTGTAGAGTCAGTAATGAATTAAAATATGGTTGGAATAAAAAAAAGTCCATTGCTCTTCTTTAGCTGTCCATAAAACACATTAGGATACACATATGTATTTACAAAATGTGCAGTCTGTAAAGCGTACAATTAGTTTGCAGAGTTTCAGGCATTTGAGTGATGCTTTATTGCATCATGTCATTAGCTGTATGTAGATAGTCCATTGCAACCTTTGTCCTAGTATCACGTCTCCAGAAGGCTCCAGAATGTCATAGATATCCTGTAGTCTTCAGAGAAACAAGGGCGTTTCAAGGGGCTTTCCCACTGTGTTTAAATATTAAAAATAGCTGTAAGTCCTCTGTGATACAATGATAAAGCCGATTGGATTGTGAGAACTCTTTTTGAAACCCCGAATTGTTTCCTCACAGAGCCGTACACTTGTGGGGCTTGCGGGATTCAGTTCCAGTTTTACAACAACCTCCTGGAGCACATGCAGTCACATGCCGGTGAGAAGAACTCACGATTCACTGTCATTTTACTTGTCAATAAAGCTTTTTTTTTTTTTCTGTTGTGTCTATGCAGTATAGGTTTGTTATTTTATGGTGGTTACAACTGGTTTTGTGTATGGCTCCAAGTTAGCTTAGGGCACCTGCATGTGGACGTTTGTGCTCCGTCTGTCCTCTGTTACAAAAATTAAATGGAAGCATGGAAAAGATTACTAGAGATTTTTGCAAGATTCTGTATGGCCAACAGACAGGCTGATATTGGGAAGTAACAAAGGTAGGGATGTGAAACCTATGATGTCCCCTGCCCAGCACACGAATGGAGGGGCACATGAAGAACAGATGTTCTTTGCTTTTATTCTATACTCTAAATCATTTCTTCCAGTTTGAATAAAATATGTCGCAAAGCAAAATCGGTTTCTGGGAATTTTAATATGGTAGTTGCCATTCTCATTCTTCCAGGCTGTATCAAGTTCTTTCAGTGAAGCTGAACCTCTTTAGGGATTCCATTGTCCTAGAACTAATGCAATGTCTGGGAAGGCTGCGGCATCATCAAAGGCTTCTCGCATGTACAGTATTTTGCTTTCTGACAGACTCCCTTTTATATGAAATGGAAGAGAGGTGAGAGCAGAGATGTCCATGTGCCCAAGCACTTCTCCTGGTATCTTGTTTAATTGCAATGAGTGAACAATTACCCTGCCTGAGAGTGGCAGAGTAGAACTTCCAAGTGCATGGCTTGTGGAAGAGTTGGTCTATGGACCGCTTTGACACTTGAACTTATTAACAAAAATGTCTGTGGAGGATGATCCAGTCTCTGGTCCTTTTTGCCAATATCTATGTGTGGTACTAGTGACAATATGAACATTGCCTAGAGTCTGTATCACTTATGGATTCCAACTCTCTTGTTTCTTCTTTCTCAGCTGACGAGAACAGTATCGCCACCAACCAGTCCAGGTCACTGCCACCAGCAGAGGAAAACTGGAAGACTCAACCCCAAAGAAACAATACAAACAACAGTATGTCTCAAGGTGCCTTAATGACCAGACTGCGTAGACCTATGGTTTAACTTGCAGTGAATTCCCACACAAGAAGGATAGGGCTATACTAGCTTGTTTAAACTTTATAATACACATGTGCACTTGTGGAAGCATACAGTGAAGTGAGCGTGGTATTGTGTACTGTATGTTTAGCAGGCTCACTGAGCAGGGTTTAGTAGTTAACGTGTGGGAGAGTTTCCTTCACTTCCTGTCTTGGATACACAACATGATGTGAGAGGAAATTTTTCATGAGAGCAAGTGTCCCAAATGGTAGATTTCCTTTCTATTCCTGTTCGGATGACCTTTCAAAGTTTTGGATTCTCCATCACTTCAGTCTTGGACACAGTGGTAACGAAAACAAACAAAAAAGTCAAATTCCTCCTCCCACCCCCCAGCATGGACACAGCAATAAAAACCTGACAGGGTTTTAGCATTTATCGCCTGTATCCAAAATTAAAACATAATTTTTGTCTTTAGATACACTTCAACAGCTCTGCCAAAATTATGGAACTTTTCTTGGTTTTTTTTTTTTTTTTTAGTTCTTGAGGAACAAGGGGAGGCAGTTCTCTCAAAGACTGTAATCTGTGATGTGCTAAGCTCAGGCTGCCTGCCCACTACCATTCAAGGAAGTACAGACAAAAGGATTCCAAGTAAGTTGACGTCCTTGCATCTGCTGAATGATTCACACTTTTCCAGCTTTTGGAGCTTGATAACCTTCCTGGTGGTAATGCCGAGTGTGGCTCGGAAGTACATTTTCCATACCAAAAGCGGTAACCCCGAGCCACACTCGGGCGTCTTCCGGGTTCCTTCCCAGCGAGCGCCGGCATTGCAGGGGGCGGAACCAGCAAGAAATTAAAATATACGAAAAACTCTAAATAAGTAACTTATGCTAAAAATCTGGAGGTTAACCCCACACCTTGTGTGCTGCGTTGGTGTGCATTACGATAAAATGATAAAGGCATTTTATCGCACTGCAGCGTATTACAATGCACAGTGATGTGAAATGATCCCTGATATTTCCATTTTGCGATAGAGAAAGAGAGATAGTCCTCTGCAGCCCCTCACTCACTGAACAGGAAAAGAGCTCTTCCTGCCAATTCACAAACTGAGGAGCTAGTATGTTTACTATTGCCTCCATTATGAATGATCACTGGAGTAAGTCAGTACTGATTACTCCGCTGCTCAGGCAGGAAAGCGAAAGATCGGTAAATTAAGATACCTATTTTCCAATCCTTCACTCACCATCCTGAATCTGCAGTTCCCCATCATATTCCTCCCTGCTTGCTGCTCCTCCCTGCTGGGCGCCGACAGTATGCTTTGCTCTGTTACTTCCAATTCCCTACTTCCAATTAGCCAAGGTAAGACATACTGATCTTGCCAGCTGGAAGCGGTACTGTTCAGCCATATACCTTATGTTGTTGGCAGAGAAAGGGTTAAAGGAGACACTGTGGCCAGAATAGAAAATAAACCTTGACATACATATTTTACCAGCTTCCTGCTTCAGTTTCCTATTTTGGGCACTACTGTAGTGCACCAATCCCTCCCACTCCCACCAATTAATGGCAAACTTTGCATACTTCAGGTCATACAAGCCCAGTATACTTGTTGGTGCTCTCTGGATTCTGTCGGTGTGAAAAAACAAAACTCAGATTATTGTAAACTGAGTGAACTTTTCTAATTTTTGCTAATTTGCAGGATTTGCTGACTAGCATTAGTAACCCACTGATTGGATTTTAAACAAATGAGTAATTCTTTTGGTAACATGTTTGCTTTTGTTGTCATTGTACCTGCAGTAGCATCAACAGCAGCACCTCTTGCTACTACACCCGTGGCACCTGTCAACAATTCGCTCCCCGAAAAAGAGCGTCAGCATATTGCGGAACGGCTGCTGAGAGTAATGTGCGCTGACCTCGGAGCCTTGAGCGTTCTCAACGGGAAAGATTTCTTCAAACTGGCACAAACGCTTGTTGACACTGGAGCTCGCTATGGATCATTTTCTGTAAATGAAATCCTAGGAAATATGAACAGCCTGGCCATGAAACATTTACCACGAATGTACAACCAAGTGAAAGTAAAAGTGACCTGTGCCCTAGGGGGCAACATCTGCTTAGGAATTGGGGTGACTTGCCACTCGCAAAGTGTTGGTACCGACTCTTGCTATGTCCTCACTGCATATCAAGCGGAAGGGCATCAGATCAAACGGTATGTCCTGGGAATTAAAGACGTAGACGGTAGAGACAGTGGCGAATTTATCCACCAGTGGGTGCAGAATGTGCTCTCCGAGTTTGTCATGTCGGAAATCAGGACTGTCTATGTCACAGACTGCAAAGTGAATTCTTCGGCTTTCTCCAAGGTTGGGACTTGCCTACGTTGCTCTGCATGCTCATTAAACTCTGTGGTACAAAGCGTATTAAACAAACGCACCTTGCAGGCCCGTAATATGCATGAGGTCATAGAACTTTTGAATGTCACGGAAGAGCTGGCTGGCACTGCTGGTATAGTTAGGGAGACCTTTGGTTCCCTTGAGGAAAGCTCTCCTCCGCCTTGTTGGAATTCTGTGACGGACTCCCTGTTGCTCGTTCATGAACGGTACGAGCAGATCTGTGAATTTTATAGCCGGGCAAAAAAGTTGACCATGATCCAAAACCTGAACAAGCATCTACTGAGCAATTTAGCTGCCATACTTGCCCCTGTGAAAAAAGCTGTCATTGACCTTAGCAATGAGCGTAAACCAACCCTACAGCTTGTGCTGCCTACTTATGTTAAGTTGGAGAAGCTCTTCACCTCAAAAGCAAATGATGCAGGGATCATCAGCAAACTGTGCCACCTCTTTCTCGAAGCTTTGAAGGAGAACTTCAAGGTCGAGTCTGCACACAAAGTTGCCATGATTCTGGACCCTCAGCAGAAACTACGGCCTGTCCCTCCATACCAACATGAAGAAATCATTACTAAAGTCTGTGAATTAATTAATGAGGTCAGGGACGGAGTGGAAGAGACAGAGTTCGTGGCTCCTCCTAAAAAAGCCAGACAATCGTCAGAGACAACCAAAGTTCAGGATGATGACCGCATGGGGAAGAACGAAGTCTATGACTATTTGCAGGAGCCTCTTTTTCAAGTGTCCCCTGACCTTTTCCATTTTTGGTCATCCGTTACCCAAAAACACACAAGACTTTCCAAGCTTGCCTTCTGGTTGTTGGCCGTCCCAGCTGTTGGAGCACGAAGCGAGTGCGTAAACATGTGTGAACAGGCCATGCTTATTAAAAAACGGAGACTTCTCAGCCCAGAAGACATAAATAAAGTCATGTTTCTTAAATCAAATTTGCTTTAAAAAATATATTATTGGGATAAAACAGTTCTGTTAAACAAAACACTGTTCCAAAAATTAGGTGGATGACTAAGGAACTCGCGTTGAAACACTGTGGACCTCAAAAAATTGAAACGCTAGGAACCAAGTGCTTTTTTTTTTTCTTTTTTTTTTTCTTTTTTTTTATACTATAAAGAGACGGAACAAGGAATGTTTTTGATCTTTTTGTGAAAGTGTTAAGAGGAAAAACAATGGTGACCTTTCTAACAGCTACAGGCAGCTGACTTCCAAAGTCACTTGAAATTAATTTCTACACAAATGACTTTTTATCTACATCTAATAAGTATTTATTTCAGGGTATTAGCAGGGCCTTAACGTGCTTGGTAAGGCATCATACAAAACACAAACATATTTTATTGGGGGAAAAAATGTTTAAGGAGAGTCAGGTTGGCTCCTTCAAGTTAGCAGTTTTAGGATTTAAAAACAGTGTTTTATCTGCAGTTATTTTTTTACATTTATTGCTGATCCCATTTTTGGTTGTTTTGAAGAATATTTTAGGACTACACTTAGTATAATGTCTGATGGAAAGTTATTGAACTTTTTTTATTTTTTATAATAGATGGTTCACTCTGTAGACTACTGTATGTTAACTTGACTGTCCTAACTCATCTTATTGGTTTGGTGTTAAAGGTTTTTGTTTTCTCTGAAGCACATAAATGTTTTTTTGTTGTTGCTAATTTATGAGTGGAAAAGAAAGTAACCATTGAGAATTACAGGCAGTGAACACGAATGTACAAGCAGCTTCTGGCACAATATGATGTTCTTCATTGTATCTGTAGCACGACTGGTTTTGCAGCACAGTGAGCCATGCACACTTGGGGGGTGGGATGGGGGTTTGTCATCCTCTGATGTTTGGAGGTTAATGTTTATGTCTCTTATTGAGTTTTCTGAAAGGGCTTTTTTATTTTACTTTTTTTTTGTTTTTAATAAATGATTTATATAGTTTGCTCCTTCTGGGAGATTTTTTTGTAGTAGATACTAGTTTTGTTTTTGAGCTTCATCAAAAAAGTTCCAGTTTACTTAAGATTGCAATGTGCATAAATATGTTTTCAACCATAAACACGTTTGAGGCACTAAAAAAATAAAATAATAACTTCTGTTATTATTAACATTTGGAAAAAAAACTTTTTTTCCAAACAAATACTTTAAAAGCCAAAAGGGGGTATTTTGACATGCTTGCTTTCAGTTTTTTAACACAAACTCTAAAGCAGTGGTTCTCGACCTGAGACCAGAAACCAGTGAATTCTTCCAAAACCTTCCATGCCCCAACAATATAAAAAAAGTTTATACAATAACAGTAAGGAAATGCAAAATGTATTAAAAAGGGAGTAATCCGTTGCAAATATGAGGTAATGTAGTTTAAATACACAATATAATTTTTCTAATTCTTATTAAAGCTTTATTTTTGGCAACCACCGTACATCAACAGTTGAACTGAAACCTACGAATTGACATATTCTATAGGACTTTGAAAGTTAAAGTGTATTTCCACTTTTGCAGCCAAATTAGGATAACACCTATTTTATATTTGCTACTTGTTCCCATTCACAAAACATAATTAAAAATATATATATATAAAAATTGTAGCTTACCTTTTTTAGATGTTCCATTCTGAAAACTCCAAGACTAAAAAATCCTGCTTAGTTCTTACTCTTTGAGGGAGTTCAGGGGAAGGGGGGGATTTGTTTGTATAATTAAAGGAGAACTATGAGGTGAGTGATTTTCACTCAACCTAATAGTTCGAGCCGACGTGTGACAATGAAACTGTCACAGGTCGGCTCAATAGAGCAGGAAGTGAGCGAACACATACCGTCGCTCGCTCGCTCACTTCTCGATCATCTCCCTGCAGAGAGCTGTGACTGTTGCTCACGGCTCCCTGCAGGGATTCTCCCCACTCCGATCCTCCAGCGCTGACTGGCGGAACGGACGGGGAGGGGGCGGGTATAGCTGGCTCTGCCTCTAGATAGGCAGAGCCAGGTGTCACTCACTCAGCCGGGTGGATCTCGACAGTAATGTCGGGATCCATCCCGACTGCGGCGGTCTCAGTATACCGCGAGCTGTAGCTCGCGATATACTGAACTGTGGGTGACTGGAGGACGCTAGTATATGTTCTCCCGTGACCCTTAAGAGAACTAAGGGGAAAAACACTAACCACATAGTTCTCCTTTAACCCTGTTTGTACTGAGCTGGCAGATTTTATTATAACTGTTAAACTAGATGAGCAGGACTGTCTGTCCAAACTAGGGGTTAAAGACCTCATGGCATTGTATGTTAATGCACTTTAAAAAAACAAACAAAACAACTTTTATTCAGTCTCTCTTCTTATCTGCTCACTGCCCTCTATTCTAACTACTAGGAGCTGCCTGTAGTGTCCTATGTATATTCCTGCTTCAAACAGCTAAAAGGGAAAATGTTTTTGTAAATATTTTTGTAGGCATGCTGTGTGATTGGGAACACATAACCACGATATAGAGGGGGTTTCTCAAAATTGATTGCAAAAGTGGAAATATACTTTTATCTTTTAGCTGCCAGGCCCTGGGTTCCAATATTGACCTCAGCTGACTGTTTTTGAAATTTCTCACCTTTTTAAAAAAAATGTAAACGGCAGCTTTCAGAGTTTGTAAAAGACTATCTCCTCAGTTATATAAAAACACCAGAGTGATCAGTACTAATTACTCGTGTTGTGAAGGCAAGGATCAGCAAATATTTCACACTCTGCATCCTGAAGCTTTGCCACCCCTCCCGCCTGTCATTGCTCTCTCTTCCCTGCTGGACACCGGCTCTGGGTGGGCCCCTCTGGTCCCTACTGCCTCTGCCAATAACAGGCAGGGGAGAGCAGCGTGGATCCGTAGGGACACAAACCGGAGCATGCAGCCAGCGTTTAGTGGGGAGAAGAAGGCTGCGTTGGGGGAGTTTAAGTTTTAGCCGCTGCTGACAGCTATTCATTTACAACGAATAGTCAGGGGGACCCTTTTGCTAGCTATAAACTTATGGTTGCTGCAGTGACCATAGCCACCTTGAGTTTATAGCAGAAGGATGAATGCAGCCAATCTAAGGCATACAAAGCTGGCCAGGTGGGAAGTTTTTGTTCCATCGTATAGCTAAAATCGGTGGCAGAGAAAGGGTTAAGGCAGACAGAATGTCAAACCTCACTATTGCTTTAATTGGGAGGTAGTTTGTAGACTTGACTTAACATTGAAGAAAACTTTAAAGTTATCACCAAAACCAAACCAACAATATCCAAAATCTGAGTACAGTAACCTTACTGAGCTGCTCCTAATCTGAGCTGCTTAATATGTAATTAGTGAGACATGTGGCCAGAAAATCGTGACAATCGTGACAATAGGTGGGCAAAAACTGGCAGCTGTGGGAGTCTCTTTTTATCTCCCCCTAACTGCCTCAGAAAATCTGTCTGCTCGTAGTCCGTGCACAGCAGTGCTCAATCTGTTTCACAATGAAACTTTGTCACATATGAGGACACATCATGCACCAGAATGACCAGGATTTAGAGGAACGTCACTCTTCTCTGTAAAATGACAACAAAGGCACATTTAGGAATGTTTAGTAATGACTTCTAAACAAATGCAGGCCTTTTATTCTCTGCCTTCCTTATTTTTCTTTTCCTCCCCATTCTTCTGACAGTGGCCATTTTTACTTTTCTTTTCCTCTCTATTCTACTCACAGTGGCCATTTTTACTACGGGCAAATTAATCCATCTCCCTTTACTTCCTGGAGCTCTGGCACATGTGACTAGGGCAGTGACCATGCACATCATCTCAGGGGTAAACAATGCCTTTCCCTGAGGTCTCATGAGATTTTGCAGTTTATACATGAGATTCCCCATCAATGCCCTGCTGGGGCAACCTTTGAAGGATGCATCTCTTAGACATGGGCTACATCACTAATGCCTAAGACGACCAGAAAGTGGAAAAACAATAATTGTAAGTAAAAGAAAAATGTGCTCATTTAACTAATGAATCCAAGTTGATTTCATATCAGCATGTAGATCTGCATGTTGATGTGCTTTTTAGTGAAAGGGGGTAAAGGTCCTCTCTAACTCCAGAGTTCAGGTAAAATTGACAGACTCTTGATCTTGAGCTCCTCTTGCCCTGTCAGACCTGTCTCCTGAGCCCTGCAGTTCATCAGGGCATGATGGTTGCCTTGATCATCCAGATTATAGTTTGCAATTAGTGTGGTACAGCACAAATCGTTCCTCTACCCCTGAGCAGTTTTTCGGTCCGTGGGCACCTTGCATATAGGCCAGCAATTGGTGTGGTGCAGGTGTGCGGCACAAAGATTGTGTGTGCTGGCTCTGCCTCGCATCAAACTGTTGCTGCACAAACTTGTGGAGTGGAAAGGGGCCACATGGCAGAAAGTGTACTGATTGATTGGTGGTTGGAACTCTATGCAGGAGCCAGAGGGGGAGAAGAACATCACTGGAGATATCACTCAGCTGGATGGGAGTCTGCCTGACGTGCTGCTGGTGGCGCACATAGCTGAGAACAAAAATAAAAGTAGTAAACGGGCCATGGGTACCCTGGTGTGACAGCAATAGTTGTCAATGCATACAAAAAGCCACGGCCTGCCGAGAACCACTGGTCTAGAGCATATTGTAATTGTGGACCATAACTTCCACATGCCTGCTGTAGTATATTTATATAGTTGAACACCGTGAACAGACAACACAAGCAATGTGGAGCCCTACTAAGCCGGAAGCATAGCCTGCATATTTAATCTACCAATATGGCTACCCCCCATGTACATATCTTTTTTTTTTTTTTTTAAACATAGAAGCAAGGTTTTTTTTTTTTTTTTTTACACACTAAGCAGCATAGTTATACAAAATGTGCAGAGCCATTCGTCCTGCGAAACTGCATGTACATTTGTTCTGTGCAAATGGGGCAAAAATGAATGAACGGTATTATTATATTTATATTTTTTCATAGAAGAAATAATCATTTATTTCCTGTGATCCGTGGCTGTTTAGTGGCATTTTCCTGATTCACTCTAATCGTACTGTATACATCAGTTACATTCGACTTGGAAAGAAAATATACCCGTAACAGCGGAATGAGTGTACATGCAGGATGAATGGCTCTGCAAATTGTAACTACACCATTAGTCATTTTCAGATTATCAGGGTTCTTCACAAAAGTGTGAAGAGGTTGGAGAAGGCAGGAGAAGCGAACAATCTAGGACAACATAGCTGAACTGGAAAGTGAGCTGAATTGGAGAATTTTTCCAAATTGAAGAAGGAAGGAGAAGTGAACAATCTAGGACAGTAATTTGGAAAAATTCTCCAATTCAGCTCACTTTCCAGTTCAGCTATGTTCTAGATTGTTCACTTCTCCTCCTTCTCCAAACTCTTCACTCTTTTTGTGAATAACCCTGTATATATTTTAGCTGGTCACATTCACATGTATTTCTACAAAAAAATAAAAATGAAAAACGTTATAAATACTTTTTATTGCCTTTTTTAAAATGCCGTTTCACATAACGTTTGGCAGCCATTTTTGGACAGAGCCAATGTTCATGAGCATCCATTAGTTTCTAAGAACTATATGGCTGATCAGGATTTGAGTCAGTAAGAGATCCAGTGAAGTCATTGGTTGTTAGTGAATTGACAGCTAAGCCATGAAATTTGGTTTTGGCCACAAACAATGGCCCGTACTGGTAGACACGTGTTTTTTTTTAGCCAAGAAATATGGGGCCCAGTGTGCAGGTTTTGCAGCTCTTTCAGTTAGATCTGTCACCCTGAATACATCTATTTCTTAATGAGGCAGGCTCTGTGATACTGATCTGTTTTGCGTGTTCCTGTAAATTTTCATATTTA